GCTCCACACCTGACTTACTCTTCTTTTCTTTACCTACCACATGAGCAGCTGATTTAAGGACATTGTCCCATATGAGCTTACAGTGTCCAGTAACCCCTTGCAGAAATAGTGTGTCTGGGCATTGGGCTGGACTGCAGGTACATGGTTGTGACCTGGGAAAGGAAGTTCAGGCATAGAAGGTGGAGTGTGTGGTAGGGTGGGGGCTTGGTGGGGGCTGCCCGGGGAGGGGGTGGCTTTGACAATGAGAGCACCCATTCTGGTATTCCTCAAGTGCACTGCTAATGTTTCCTGCTCTAAACACACGTGTCCTGCCGTCATGCAGTGATGTTCCTGGTGCTCCCTATATCACACATTGTCTCACTGAAGAGCCAGTGAGGACCTGCCAGGGCCTCTGATCTCATCTTCTTCCATCTTTCCCAACCACCTCTCACAAGCTGTCTCTATTTCTGGTATTTGTAGTCTATAGCAATTTTAGGATAAACTATGAGGGAATAACTACCTTGAGCAGTTTTAAAACATGGCCCCCAAACTCACAGACATTTCTCTCATAGAAAGGTGGATTTTTGGGCCGGCCCGGTGGCGCACTGGAGAGTGTGCTGCTTGGGAGCGCGGTGGCGCTCCTGCTGAGGGTTCGGATCCCATGTGGAGACCGGTTCCCACTCACTGGCTGAGCGTGGTGCGGGCGCAACACCAAGGGTTGCGATCCCGTTGCTGGTCCCCGGTGCGGGCGACACCGAGGGTTGCGATCCCGTTACTGGTCAGTAAAAAAGACAAAAAGAAAAAAAAAAAAAGAAAGGTGGATTTATGCCCCCTTCTCTTGAGCCTAGGCCTGGTGACATAATGACCAGTAGAATATGTCCAACATAGTGCCATGCTGTTTTGTGGGCCCAGGCCTTAAGAAACTGGCAACTTTTACTTTCTCTCTCTTGGATGCTTCTATGGTCTGAATATCTGTGTTCTCCCAAAATTCATATGTTGACATCTTAAATCCCAAGTTGACAGTATTAAGAGGTAGGATCTTTTGTGAAATGAGTAGGTCAGGACGCTGGAGCCCTCATGAATGGCATTACTGCTCTTATAAAAGAGGCCCCAGAAAAGCCCCTCACCCCTTCCACCATGTGAAGACACGGTGAGAAACCACCACCTATAAACCAGAAAGTGTGTGCTTATCAGGAACCAAATTTGCTGGCACCTTGATCTTGACCTTCCTAAACTCTATGACTATGGGAAATTTCTGCAGTTTATAAGCAATGAAGTTGATGGTATTTTTAATAGCAGCCCAAACAAGCTAACAGGGACGATCACTTTGGAACCCAGAAACCATGCTTTGAGGAATCTTAAGCATCCCACATAGAGAGGAACTGAAGCCACTTGCAGGAAATGGGCTTGAAAATATTTAACAACCATCTTTCAAAGAAATAAAAACGCCCAGATTTGTTGTGTTTGTAAATTTCTGTGGTTAAAATCCCCCCAGCTACTAACCCTTTAGCAGCTCGCTAACAAAAACTCCTCTTATTAGCCATTATGGTCTGGCTCCAGCTCATCACCAAGGCCTCTAGCCCAAAGCCCCACCTGAGACAGTTGAGCCAGTACAACTTCTAGCCACATGAGGGAGCTGTCTTGGGTCTGACTTCTTCAGATCCCAGCAGAACCACTTCTTCTGATGTCACGAGGATTTGAGCCATGCCCAGATTGCAAATGTGTGAGTTAGAACATGACTCTGTTGTTATAATTCACTAAGTTTTGCTGTGGTTTCTTATGCAGCAATAGATGTATGACTCTTTCAATTCAGAGGTGGAGGAGTTCCAGAAGATGGCAAGAGTCAGGGTGTGGCCCTGGCTTGGAGGCTGGAACAAAGACTGGGAGGTCCCTGTCACCTAAGAGGTGACAGCACTGAGAGGTCGGAGTGGGAGTGTGCAGGCCATGGTAAAGTGCTGCACCTTTCCCACAATCTGTAAGTTTCTCAGTGAGTCAGGGGGCTTTGAGTGGCAAAGGAAAAAATATACAGAATGAAGAACAGAGAACAAGTACTTTTCTCTTCTCTTTCATTCTAATTTTGCTTGTAAGCAGAGTTAAGATAATCAAAGAGAACAGGAAAAAAAAAAAAAAAAGCCAATGTCTTCATTGTAAAAGCAGCAGAGACTTTTTGGAAATGTCAAGGCAGCGTTTACTCCAGACTGTCGCAATAGGGTCAGGACTTTGCAACAGGCAGAGAGGTTTAACTGAACTTTCTTCAGGGAAAAGGCAGGAGGGTTTGTAAGCACTAGGTGATCTAGTGGAAAATTACTGGAAGATGTTAGTGAGGAGGTTGGCAAATGTGATTAGGCCATCTGCGGTTGGTAATTTTCACTTATTGATGGTAGGCCCCTAACCTCCCATAAAGACAGGGGTGGTATCTCTTTGGAAAATTATATTCATATAGAATGGTTTCACATCAGAATTACTCTTTATTTCCATTGCAAATCTGCCCCTTTCCCTTTAATTAATACCTGCTTCTGAGCATATCTGATTTGGGTTTTGTTTCCTCCTCCCTTGTAACATCAATTCCTCCAAATCTCATGGAGTGAGAGCTTGACCCTGCATATGTCTTGCCTTTATCCAGTTCTCTCTGACTGGAATTCTGTTCTACCCCTTCTTTTAATCTGTCCACGATTTTAAGATTCACCGTGAAACCATTTCTTGCCACTCCACAGCATAATTATTTCTTATTTCTTCCTAAAGTCGTAATGCTTCATAAAGTCACATTTTGCCTATTATATTCTCCTATATTTTAGTTTTAAGTGATTGAATTATTTTTCTAAAGGTATACTGTTACATGAACTGTAGGTTTCGGTGTTTCTATGCAGTTTAGCAATAAGAATGTAATTTTATGTTGTTATGTGAAGTTGGATTAGATTAGTTAATTTAATAATTATTTATTTGTTGATCAGCTGCTATGTGTTAGGGAGGTATCGATACACCAGGTAGAAAGGTACCATGACAAGCAAAATATGGAGCTTCCATTCCAGTGGAGGGAGACAAGTATTACACCAAGTAAGTAAGTTGAGATGGTTTGAAATTCTATACAGAAAAATAAAAAGAAAATGGGAATTGCAGTTCACAGAAGGAAATGCTACCATTTAGAATTGGGAATCAGGGAAGACTTCAGTGACAATGCACAATTTTAGCAGAGACCTTGGGAGCTAGAGGAGTGACCAAAATGGATTCTGGTTTCGGTGCAGATGCCCTGAGATGGAATCAGCCTGGCCCAGTAGACAGTTTAGGAAAAATATATAGAATTAGTTCAACAACCACAAAACTTCAGGTCAGTGGCACTTACAAGAACCCAAGGAAATCTTTCTGGCCTTCACACCCAAATTCCAATCTTTCGCCTACATTTTCTACACAAGGGAGAGGAATTAGGACTATTTTTGTGCCAGATCCACAGACTCACTCTGTCCTCACTGAGATCTGTGCTGTGGTTTCCTGGTCATGGAGTGTCTCAGTGGGTGCTTGGACCCCTGTGCTGGCCTTCTCGGAGAGCACATCTCAGCCTGGGGCTGTGACTTGTCTCAGGGTTAGAATGAAGTGGACGTGGAGAAGACCTGCTCCCTTCTCTTGGAGTCTGGGCATTTGTTGCAGGTGTTGGTGGTCACACCAGCGTCTGGACCCATCAGAGTGTTCTATTCAAGAATGGTGAGTGATTCCACTTGAAACACTGTCTCTTTCTTTGCAAACTATACTCGTTTTGTTGCTCTCGGACTTCTTGGGGCATTCTACCAGTGACCACCCCAATTAGTGTAGCCATGACTTGAAATGACATTTTTTTCCCCAAACATGTTTTTAATCACAAATTGGAACACCTAGATCCAGAGTGAATATAAAGAGTCTGAGGTTCATGCTGGGCTCCTTACCAGTCTTTGTGGTCATGTCCTGATGGGCCATTTGAAGGACATGGTGGATGAGTTTAAAAGTCAGTGGGAATCTGGGGAAGGGAAAGAGAGGCAATACCAAGTCAGAAGTCAGTCCCCAAACGTGGTGTGCATGCTGGGGGTGGGCAGCGGTGGAGACCGAGCTGCAGGGGGCTTGGCCATGACAGCGTGTGATCTGGGCATCTACGAGAGCACGACTGTTGCTGTGTTTTCGCAGACCTGGTTTTGCTGCCTTGCCTCTCCCTGACGTGAATGATGTTGAAGGTATCAGAACCTCGGCACCTTCAGCTGCAGCAGGGACCCCAGGGCTCCTGGAGAAGTGCTTCCCTCACTTCACTTTTCCTGGTTTCCCCTTCGAGGCTGTACTTTCCAGGGACTATCAGGTTCTCAGTGGCTTTAAGGCAACCCAAGAGAGGGCATTTGAAGAATTGTGGGTGTGAATTTTGTGTGTGTGAAGACGACTTTATGTTTATGAACAGACTCTTCAAAAAGTTCATGAAAAGATTTATATTTAATTCCATATTCCATGAACTTTTGAGGTGCCCTTGTGTTATCCAGTTTTTACTAGATATGGTTGGATAGTAGCTGATAACAAGTATATCGTGTATATCCTAATGTAACGCTCCTGCGCTTTTTGTTATGTTCATTGTGTCTTTGCTAACAACCCATTCCAATCTTGATTAAAGTCGTTTCAATCGAGCTGATACAATCCCAGGTCTTAAAAGGCAGATGAGTGATCTGGGGCTGTTTAATAAAATTCCAACACTTTGGGAAAGAAGATGGTGGCTTTTCCTGAGAAGTAACGATGTAATGACTGTATAAACTTGAAGCTGACAATAATTGTTTTGCCTAACACATGCGAATTGTCTTTGAGAGTAAATCCAATCAAAATGAAAGTGGAGTTTAAAGACAGAGAAGTCAAGAGAGAGATCAACAGCATCACTTGACCTTTCATATTGATTTATGTCTAAAGCCAGTGTTCATCCTTGAAATTGCTGAGCCAGTATTTTGGTTAAGAGTTTGATTTAAGATCCTGGTATTTGCATACCAAAGGGTCCCAACTAAGACACATCAAAGAGGCACACAGAGAACTTGCTACAGGGACTTTATTTAGGATGAGGAAAGAAAATTGAGGTAAAGGTATAGGAGTAATAACCACTCCCCTCTAGGTCTTAAAGCAAATTTAGAACTCATTTTTCTCTGTTCTTGATGCTCAGCGACAGCAGAGTCTGTAGTAGACACCACGAATTCGGCAGAACCCAGCAATACGTTCTAGAAAAGAACAGGCTCCTCTGCAATAGCAGGTCACACGCCTCACAGGATCTAGGGACAAAGAAAGAGCATCTGCCATTGAGCACCGGGGTCAGTGGTGAGTGGTAAGAGAAAATCCTGGAGAAGTTATGTGCTGGGTTGAGTGCATTTGCCATGTTGGCTGCAGTACAGCCGGCAGCATGATCAACCCCAGTCAACAGGAATAAATACACACAGCAGGCATTGGTCACACACAGGGTTAGAGGCCCATTCTCATGTGTCTTCCCTTTTATGTATTCCTAACTACCGTCACACACACATCTGCACACACCGTCAGGTCCATCTCCAGCTTATAAAACTTCCTCTGATAGAATAGAATATTCCAGAAAGAACTAGTCCGTATTTCTCTTTATATTTTAAATGTAGTTAATTTCACAGACATATTGTGAACTCAAAAGTCTCTTAGATTTATTTGACTCTCAGTGTTGAATTTAGAGATAAGAAAATCAAGTTCCAGAGAGGTTAAATAAAATCATATAAGGGACATAGCTGATTCCAGACCTGATTCCAGATCCCATCTCCAGTCCTTCCTGTCTAGACACCTTAACTCTGAAATGTTGGGGTCTCTCACCTGCAGCTTGAAGAGCAGAGATGTGGTCCCCTGCAAAGGAGATGGCCACGTCCTGGTCCTCTGCCCCGGGCTGCTGCTGGGCTGGATTCTCATAAGCTCTTTCCAGGAGTGGCTCAGCCTGGGCCTGGAGGGCCACCAGGAGAAGGGCAGCAAGGAGGGTGAGGGTCCTCATGGCTGGGGTCACCTGGAGGATGGGAGAGCAGGAGAGAGTCGGGAGTGACAAGTCAGTCTGCATTTTTAGGTCTGCTCAGGGCTGATGCTGCAATTAGAGGGGGAGCATTTGNCTGCAGGAAGTCTCCTCTCTGGTCAGTTTGAACTCTACTAAGTTGCTGGAAACTGCCCTGCCGGTCCCGTAAGGTATGTGTGTTCTGTACCTCGCTATCGGGACATTTTCCCACTCTGTGTGCACTAGGTGGGGCTGTTGAGCTTTGCAAAGGGGACTCACAGGGTGTGTAATTATTTTTTTTCCGAGACTCCGCCTCCTTTTGCCGGACCCCTCCCCACTCTGTGCGCTCAGAACAGGGCTGAGTCTTGTCTTCTGCAAACCTCGTCTTTCAGCTGAGACATCAAAGCTGTGCCCTGCCCCGCCCTGCCCAGGAAGAGTTTTAGGTGTCTAGTCTCTTCAACTGCAGGGTGTGAGCTCCTTGGGGGAGGGTCCCACAGCACACAGTTCCTCTTTGAATCCCCCCAGCACGGGTCATCCGGGGCGCCCTCTGGGAGTGCTCTCCGGCAGGTTCAATGTAGCTCCAGAGCACTCTGGGCTCCCCTCTCCCAACCAGAAATCAGTTAGGGGTTCTTCCAAACTGAGGCCCACAGAGATGGTATCTGCCTCCCGGAAACAGGGAGTTTACCTGGGGCCGAAGCCCAGGGTGTGGTGGAGAGACGATCTGGGGGGGCTCCTCTTCCCTGCCCTCCCAATGCTGGCCGGGGGCTCCCCATGCTACCAGCCCCGTCAGAGATCCACAGGGAGAGTGGGATTGTAGGCTGGTCTACAGGGCCCGGGGAGCTCCGCATTGAGGTAAGCAAGTGGCACATCTCAGTGAGGAGCCGTGCCAAGCAAAGATGGCTGGCCTGCCTGATCCGAGCCGGCCGTCTCCGCCCCCACCCGAGAAAATGGAGGCAGCTCTGTTGTCTAACTGAAATTCTGTTCTACCCCTTCTTTTAATCTGTTTGCGAGTTTAAGATTCATGGTGAAACCATTTCTTGCCACTCCACAGCATAATTATTTCTTATTTCTTCCTAAACTCCTAATGCTTCAAAAAGTCACATTTTGGCTATTATATTCTCCTATATTTTAGTTTTAAGTGATTGAATTATTATTATTATTTTTTTTTTCCTTTTTGTCATTTTTACTGACCGGTAATGGGATTGCAACCCTTGGTGTCACGCCCGTACTGGGAACCGGCAACGGGATCGCAGCCCTTGATGTTGCGCCAGCACCATGCTCAGCCAGTGAGTAGGATCCGGTCTCCACATGGGATCTGAACCCTCGGCGGGAGTGCCACCACACTCCCAAGCCCTTAAATCACACTGGGCCAGCCCTTATATTCCATGAACTTTTAGGTGCCCTTGTGTTATCCAGTTTTTACTAGATATGGTTGGATAGTAGCTGATAACAAGTATATCGTGTATATCCTAATGTAACGCTCCTGCGCTTTTTGTTATGCTCATTGTGTCTTTGCTAACAACCCATTCCAACCTTTTTTTTTTTTTTTTTTCTGGTCTTTTGTCTTTTTCTGTGTCCGGCAACGGATTGCAACCCTCAGTGTTGCCCCCGCACCGGGCCGGGGACCGGCAATGGGATCGCAACCCTCGGTGCTGCTCCCACGCCTCGCTCAGCCAGTGAGCGGGAACCGGTCTGTATGTGGGATCTGAACCCTCGGGCGGGAGCGCCGCCACGCTTCCCAAGCAGCGCACTATCCAGTGCGCCACCGGGCTGGCCCTACATTTCACTTTTATAATAAATACATTAAAATGTCCATCACATTGTTATTATAAAAATCAACAACCTAAAATATCTGTTTGGGTAATTACTGAGTAAATTACATTATATCCAAATAACAGACACTATATAGCCACTTAAAGTCATAATTATCAGGTTCTGGTTCTAGATAAGATTAAGTAAGCACACTTCTCCCTGTCTCTCCAACTGAATGCAGCTAAAAATCCTGTACAGAATGGATTGGAGCAGCTATTTGAGGACTCTGAAAAGTAAATAATGGCAGATTGACTGAAGACAAAGGCCAGAATTTAAAGTAAAATGCCTCTAAACCTGTGGTGAGTTACCAGTGTTTTTTCCTTTAGTTCACCACAACTTTGGCCCGGAAGCAGGTGCAGCCATGGAGATACATGGCAGCATGGGGTAACTTAAAGGCACAGCTTCCTGGATCCAGAAAGTACCAAAAGAGATTGCAGACAGGAAGGAGCTCAAGAAAGAAACCCAATGAGGTTGTTTATCAACTCCAGGGCTTACCCAAAGCTGTGTATAATGTTGATCTGATCCTGACCAGCATATAAAAGATTATGAGATCTAAACTGATAAATCATCAGCCATGTCACATACTGTCCACTAGGTGGCGTGCACACTGACAGCACTACAAAGACTTTGAAAACTGAACTGACTAGAACCACAGAGGTGTGCTGTAACATGAAGCCCAACCCTAAAAGATAACAGAACTCATTTTTCTCTGTTCTTGATGCTCAGCCACAGCAGAGTCTGTAGTAGATACCACGAATTCGGCAGAACCCAGCAATACGTTCTATAATAGAACAGGCTATTTTGCAATTGCAGGTCACACGCCTCACAGGATCTAGGGACAAAGAGAGAGCATCCGCCATTGAGCACTGGGGTCAGTGGTGAGTGGTAAGAGAAAATCCTGGAGAAGTTATGTGCTGGGTTGAGTGCATTTGCCATGTTGGCTGCAGTACAGCTGGCAGCATGATCAACCCCAGTCAACAGGAATAAATACACACAGCAGGCATTGGTCACACACAGGGTTAGAGGCCCATTCTCATGTGTCTTCCCTTTTATGTATTCCTAACTACCGTCACACACACATCTGCACACACCGTCAGGTCCATCTCCAGCTTATAAAACTTCCTCTGATAGAATAGAATATTCCAGAAAGAACTAGTCCGTATTTCTCTTTATAGTTTAAATGTAGTTAATTTCACAGACATATTGTGAACTCAAAAGTCTCTTAGATTTATTTGACTGTCAGTGTTGAATTTAGAGATGAGAAAATCAAGTTCCAGAGAGGTATTTTTTCTTTTTCTTTTTATTATTTTTTATTTTTTTATTTTTTGTCTTTTTTCCGTGTCCGGCAACGGATCGCAACCCTCAGTGTCGCCCCCGTACCGGGCCGGGACCGGCAACGGGATCGCAAACCTCGGTGTTGCCCCTGCGCCTCGCTCAGCCAGTGAGCTGGAACCGGTCTGTATGTGTGATCCGAACCCTCGGTGGGAGCGCCACCGCGCTTCCCCAGCAGCGCACTAGTGCAGTGCGCCACCGGGCCGGCCCCTACCAGAGAGGTTAAATAAAATCATATAAGGGACATAGGTGATTCCAGACCTGATTCCAGATCCCATCTCCAGTCCTTCCTGTCTAGACTCCTTAACTCTGAAATGTTGGGGTCTCTCACCTGCAGCTTGAAGAGCAGAGATGTGGTCCCCTGCAAAGGAGATGGCCACGTCCTGGTCCTCTGCCCCAGGCTGCTGCTGGGCTGGATTCTCATAAGCTCTTTCCAGGAGTGGCTCAGCCTGGGCCTGGAGGGCCATCAGGAGAAGGGCAGCAAGGAGGGTGAGGGTCCTCATGGCTGGGGTCACCTGGAGGATGGGAGAGCAGGAGAGAGTCGGGAGTGACGAGTCAGTCTGCATTTTTAGGTCTGCTCAGGGCTGATGCTGCAATTAGAGGGGGAGCATTTGGTTGGGGAGGGGGAGGGCTGCTGTCTCCCTCCTGATCCCTTTGGTCTGTTCTCGCAGCTTTCATCTCAGTCTGAGTCTGCATGTTTAGTGTCTGTACTCGGTTAGAACCCTGATGTATTTTCCTGTTTCCCACCTACTCGAATATTTACTTTTTAATATTCAGAAAAGAAAAGAAAAGGTGCTTTCATTCAATAAGTTCAGGGAACAAACAGCCTCTTCATTTTTGATGTTGGGCCCTGCTGCTCTCTGGAGGCCTAGACCCTGAGGCCAGACCCAGGACTTCAATAGAGTAAATTCATTGCAGGATTCAGGGGCATGACCACCGTCATGAAGGGGGTTTTTGAGGTGATAGGGTGAGTAGACTCCTGCTGAATCAGTGTGGAGAGGACAATGACCTTACCTGGCTACAGGTGAAAGGAGCTCTGTGGGTACTAGGGAAGAGTGGGGCTAAGGCTAAGAGAATGTTTGCCCCCAGCTTTGTTGAGGTACAAGTGACAATATATATATATATATATATATATATA